ATAGGAATTTGGGTTCTTCAAGCGCTATATGTTTTTTCAGTTCGTATATGTAACGGGTCAAGGGTGCTCTTTGGCACAATGAATTGAGACAAGTTCTGCGCTGGTTTTATGGGTGAAATCACTTGGGTCACTGCGCTTGCCTCATTAATGTGCTCCTCCTCTTTGCTATTGAGGAGGGAGGAATCAACCAATGGAGAAGACTCACTACCCCAAGTGACTCGCCCCAGCGGAGTAATGTCTAGTAAGCGCGGAATATGCCTTTGAGACCTGTAAGTTGCCATATGCTTTCAATAGTCAGTACACGGCAAGGAAAATTGTTATTGATAAGACCCCTTCCAAAATCTCACTCTGCGAATTCCAGAACGGATTTGGAGACGAGCCACGGCACTGGTTGCAGGACGGTGGGCAGGTCTGGGCCATGTATGCCGCAGAGCTGGTGCAGTAGCCTCGAGCAGCCCATGCAAGGCAGCAGTAATGGTTGTTGATACACGTGCCGCCACCTGAAAATATCTCAGAAACTTACCAGTGCTTCCGAATTCCTCCGAAGAATCTATTAAACCTGAGTCTAAGCCTAGAAATCCAGGTTGCGGTATCGCGCCGAAACGGCGCTGTTTGTCTTAGGAAGGGGAGGGGGGAAGGGCGCGTTCTGCACTTTTGATGAGACCTGTAAACTCTTTTCAAGTGTAAATGAAGCCCATTCTTTAGCACAGCTTTCAAAAACTTTAGGTCTTCAGAGAAGGCATCGGTTGTGATCAATGAGAACCAGCAAAATCCCCCCACCGAACCGAATTGTACCCAAAAACTGTTATAGAGTATCCCTTATCTAGCTGACTCGATATACTGTATCGCCTGCGCGGTAAACCACTTAGGTCTGGAGCGAATGTCGCGCGCGAGACACCGTTCGGAACGCCGCGTCGCCGCAACGTGGATCTCCTGCCTCACACCATCTGATCTTACCTGATGGAGCTTGAGTTGTTGGTTGTGAGGGTGTATCTGAAATGCTGGACATCAGTGTTGACATATCTGGTCTACGTTGGCTGGCTGAAAGGGTGAGGCTCGGTCGCTCGGTTCATTGGTTAGCAGGAAATTGTGAATTAAAACCGGGTTTTTTTTGACTAGGGTTCAACCAGACCGCAATAAAATTTCTGCCACAAAAATGATTGATTCTATCGATATATCTTAAGAATGTCTCACTGGAACCGCCGCCACCGTAGCACACTTGTTGCCTGGTCTGGCCACATCGATTGCATGCCTGGCGACAGTTTTCGATCATCCATGACGGGTTACTGGTGCATTCACCACGAGCTGCCCATGTGGCGCACATCGGATGTCGGTTGTTACATTCTGCAAAACGTACATTAATTCTCATCAATACTGATCGGTGGTCATAGCAGTGCTACTCTAGTAACGCAGCCAATCAGTAAGGTAGTGGGTGTGCCCTGAACCAAAGATTACCTACAGATTCGTGAGTACACTCGCTGCTCGGCCTGGGAGGGGCATTCTTCACTTTCGCTTGTTCCTTTTGCTATTTCACGTTATCTAACAGGTAGACTCTTGTGAAGCTGCGAATAAGTATAAATAAGCCTCTCTGGTTACAGGATTTTACAGGTCTTAACAAGGTGGCCTGTATAGGCTTCGATGAGTACTATTTGGTGCCCCCACCAAGCCGAACTGCGAAGAAAGTTCCCTTCCCTAATGACCTAGCTAAGGGTGTGCATCCTTTCCCTTTGACCGCTGCTCGGCTTACTACCCTCAGCGAGAATGAACGCACAGCTTTTCACTGAAATAAGGTGCTGATAATGCGTTCTTTCCACTCAGCGGACGGCGAATGCCGTTTCTAGCAAACGCCATTTGGCATCGTTCACAGTTCGCCGATAGAATGGGCGACTCAAGTCGGCCGATTTGCAGCGACTACAAGGTTCAAAGGTTCTGTGATTAGCGCTAGAGCTAAGTTTTTTCGCTTCCGTCGAGGTCACTTCTGGATCTCGCTTTCTGCATTTCAATGCGATTCAGATTGAACCGAGTCTTAGCAACTTTTGTCGCTGACCGCGAACGTAATGAAAAACGATGCTCCCGAGCGAATTTGTGGCTCCAGGCAAAAGGTGATCTGCATGTTGCTGGCTGCTTTTATGACATGTCCTTTGCTTGAAGGTAACTTTGCGCTATGCGGGAAATTAAGTCGCAAAAACGTTTTGCGCTGAGTTGTCCGGCTTCGAGGGGCATATCATTTGCGCTGGTCGTCTCTACTATTTCATGGCTAACGTAGAAGTCTCTCTTTGGTGAGAATTGTAAAAAATCTTTGTGAAGCTACATATAGTGTGAGTGGATGAACTTGGTCATAGGAATTTACACGTCTTTACAGAGCAACATGTGCAATCCTCACACACTATTCGCTGGCCCCTCCAAACCGAACTGCGCCAAAATTTCGAAAAATTCATAAGCAATAATTCAAATCATACCGACATTGAGATTGTAGGTAGTCGGTCGGCAGATGCCGCAACTTGCTCTGCACCATAGGTTCATGTATGATGGGTTGTTCCGACATTCTCCGTTATTGGCCCATGGGCCACAACACTGTTGCTCGTTGAAGCAGGTCTATGATCAGGTTCGAATGATCGATCGGTCAATAAGATCAATAGTGCTGCAAATGTTCAATGGACAAACAGGAACAGTACCTCTTGCCTTGGTCCAGCTGGCGTGGTCGTCATGATGGGTGGGCTGGGTAGTAGGTGGTTGCTGAAAGGGTAAATCTATCAGTTTCATTGGTTTCCAGCTCTGATTAAGGGGCGCTAATCCATAACCCCACGTACCGTAGTCGGTACACATCGATTGTTTTGACATATGCTGAGATAGCAACGATCCTCATCTGTTGATTATTGATTTGAAGTATTGATTAAGAGGTTTTTGCTTCAAAAAGAACTCACTGTTAAAATATCCTCCACAGTTGCCTCCGACTGCAATCTTTGCCGCGCAGCGTGCGGCACCGTGCGAGAAGTCACAGAAGAGGAATCTAAGGAAGTGGTCAGTAATTGGTTAACTCATTTTTTATCGTGAAGACATATTTCGATCTAATAAAATCCGTTCGTCATTAAGGGTTTCTTGTCCCAAACACCGCCCATTTCTGCGCAAGCTCCGCCCAAAACCTTGCACGTGACGCTAAAATCGTTGCCATGATGCCTTTCCAATCAGTACTTCCCGAGTAGTGTGGACAAATCTCTACGGCTCTGTGATGGTCCTGGCCGATTAGATTGCAAGTAGAAAAGCTCTTCGAGCCATTTTAAATCGTCTATCGCGACGATTTAGTCGAAACGTGGGGCAGGCGATACGTTCTGGGAACAATGATTTGTTTGCTGCGTTATCCTTTTTTGAATAGTGAAGTCGGTCATATTAGAATGTTAGAAAGGTGGGGTAAACTGTTTTGACCATTAGATATTAAAATGTAAAAGAATTTTTTGGCTTAAAGTGGTGACAACTAGCTCTGGGAGTGCCAGTGAATGTGCGTGTTCTCGAAAGCGAGATTCCCACAAAGCAGTGTTCCTCGAACCGCTCCGGTGTTGAAAAAGTAACTGCTAAATCGGTAGTAATTACAATTCTCCTTTACCAGTTCTTGTTTTTGTTTATAAGCTATTTCACTGGTAGTTGTTTTGACGATGAGTTCTGGGTCAGCGTCTGTGAAAGAACAACTCACCGCGATCCACATCCCTGTGGATTTCCACCTGAACATGTTGGACGAGCTTGGTAGGTGTAGAGGTTATCTGAAAATATCTGTTCATAGGGCAAGGTGAACAGGTACAAGTACGCAGCTATGCAATTTCCCCACGTACTAGGGGTGGGAGAAGAGCACTGAAACTGCAGGATTGTGATAGATTTATGCTTTTCCATGTCTACACGTCACCCTTTCTCCTGGGCCCCTTGCTGCTCTCGCAGCCATGCCTATTTTTGCCCTCGGATGTAGACTATCACGCGAATCACGTAGCATACAGTGGGCAGAAGCCTGAAGAACGTCTAGCTATCACATAGACACCCCAATAGAAAGTCAGAGGGCGCTGATAATCAGCGCCGTGCTCGCTAGTTCGCTTGAATCTCGATCGCTGAAATACAGCTTCTCTTGATGCATCCAAAATTCTCACCGGTGTATTGATTGGACAGTCCATCAATATTGGTCATAGGAAAGAATGGTTGCATAGTGTTCGTGCCGAAATGTGCTGCACTAGAACATGCCGCGTTGTTCGGTGGATACTGAGTTTCGCGAGCGCCACGCGACTGAAAAAAAGTGGATTATGGTAAAGTTAAACGATTGTTCGTAAATAGGTAGAGCATTAGGGCAGCGGAGAGGACGTTGCCAAGTCACGCCCACTTTCTGCTCGTCTGCGTCCTCACGGTGAGATGGTGTCGGTTAACGCCAGTGAGAACGCAGACCTGGTGTCAACCGGCACTATCTGAGAGCAAGATTAACGGCGAAAGCAGGTAATGGGCGTAGGCTTATCCTTCCGTTGCCCTCTTAACTACCTCTGCACCGTTAATGATTCAAAAACTTAGAAAAGAAAAGTTTTCTTCAGCTTTTCACGTTTGATACCTGTCGCGACTGCCGCCAATTCTCCCATATCAGGTCGATGAACGAGTGATGATTCCAGAAAATGGGATCGTTCGTGGATGTGGTCAGTTGGGACATATCTCCTGCAAAAGCCAGCTATATGTGGTTTTGGTCCATGGTTTCTTGGCCAACCGCCCAATTGGTTAACATCGCCATCGACGGTGGTGATCATGGGTCCGTTAACTGTGAAGGGTTGATGACGTGCTACTAGACATGCTAATGGGATAACGAGCAGGGCACAGCATTGGTTGGGGATTCCCTATGGGGGGGTCGTATTTGGCCGCCAAAAGGGGGGTCGTATTTGGGCTGGGAAAAATTTATTTTTATAGTTGATTTTTCTCGCTTTGCGGACGTTTTGGAGGGGGGGGTCGTATTCCTGGGAGTTTCGCTGTTCACATTCATGGGATTATTCCATGAATTCTGTGTTATAGGTTACTATGTACGCCCTCGTACATTATGTACTCGCACGCCTACTATTGAGGTGTAGGAAAGTTCTAGCGTTTTGGGTGTTTAAACTTTAAACGATTCATTAAACTTCTCTTAACACACATTCGTGTGAGATTTTAATCCAATAATCACCATTCGAAATCATTCACAGCTTTTGCCTTAATGTGTCGACAGCTCAGTCGTACAAAACCACAAGAAGAAAAAAAGCTATGTCGTGAGAAATATACCATACTATAATCTCCGAAGGCCTTATGTACCTGGTCCTCTAATTTATGAACGCATTAAATTTCAGGCAATGAAGTTTCTTGCAAAATCTCGAAAAAGGACATTCGGTTGGTGAATAAAGGTCCGCCTTAGAGAATATGTGGTGAGATATAAATACAACTCCCCAATTCGTTCATTTATGGAAGTGATTTGTCTGGAAACGTTGGGCGTGGCGTGTCATGCAAAAGAATCGACCCTTCATTTTGATATAGTGTTCGGCTGCACTTACACTAATTTCGGTAATCATTTGGTCGTTTGTGTCACCAGTCCAGGTTCTGCCGTCATGGTTTGCCTGGTTGGATCAAAAGTTAAGTGGATTACAATCAGCCGACTGATACACACCAAACCCTGCCCAGAATTTTTGTTTTCGCATGGTAGGTTCGGCTTGAAATTACCGCTTGGTGTCCTCCAAATCCAACCACTGTCCGGAACGTCTCCTGTTATCATACATGATCCATTTCATCACAGGTGACAAATCCGTTCAAAAACGGGTCAATTCTTTTCTGCGCAGAAAGCAGTGTAAGAAGCGAACCTCGAGACGTGCCGAATCTCGCCCGTGTCATTCGCGATTCTGGGCACCATGTCGAGTTTTTTCCCTCCCAATGCGTTCCAGACCATCTGCAACAGTGGATTTGCCAAGGCCTAGCTCTTCTGCTATCTCTCGAACTGTTTGGGATGGGTCAACCTTCAAAATCCCCCTAAAATCCTCGTCAGATATTGCTTTAGGTCGACCGCTATGAGGCTCACCTTCAAGGCTGAATATCTCCAGAGCGAAAATTATTGCATGCTTGCCGCACAGTGCTTCTCTTAGCACTATTGGGCCCCCACACCTGGTTAATTTGTTGAGCTGTTTCGATTGCGGATTGCCCCAATTTATAGTCGAAGAAAAAATCGTCCGAAGTGCTCTTTTCACATGCTTGAAAAAATCTTGAAAAAAGGGGTTTATCAAGCAATGGTGAAACGGCAATATACCTCAGATAGCGCAAGAAATTCTCTACAGGATGTGCTACTGAGAAGCAAGGCAGAATGAGTTTTTAATCAGCAGTGAATGTACAAAGATTAGGTGCACAAAACGCTAAGAACTTTCCGGACAACCTAATACAACCTCGCTAACGACATACTTTTTTCGCCGAGATAACCACAACCACAGTCACCAGCAGCCTTCGTAACGAGCATGGGGGGTGTCGTACCACCCTGAAATAAAGGGGGGGGGTTTGTATTCGTAAAAAGCTCGACAAAAATCCCCATCGAATGCTGTGCCCTGATAACGAGTCACATAAAATGTGGATGAACAGAAAACCTGTGTAGAATCAGTGGTGACGTCTGAAGAATGTCATACATTTGTAGTGATGACGTCAATGACGCGTCACGCGTACGACAGTAACAGTACTGATCGCGCGCATTTGTGCTCCGCCAGCGCCCTTATAGCTGTCATATCATACCGCCTCCAGAACTGCTCGCGTGATGTACGTCTTAGCATATCGACTGCTCCGCTTGGGTGCAACGCGATTTTCGCGCGCGCGCTCGAACTCTACGATTGGGTAGGTTTCTGCAGAGGCGTCGGTTACGGAAGCAACGTGCACCGGACTGCAAAATCACTTCTATAAAATGACCAGTCCTAGCGCCGTTAGCTACCAGAACCACATCTGAGCGGATTGTTTCAATAATAGAATTGCTCAGAACTGACTGATTACCTCCTATGAACACATGTGGATTGCCGTGGGAATACTCAAGTGCCGTCCATGCAGCCGGGGTTGGGCAGCCCTGAAGACAACTATTAAATTTTGAAAAGCAAATTGCCTGGATCATATAATTTTTCATGTCGCTTCACTCAGTTGAAATTTCCTCGAATATTTGCTGGTGCCTCATTAACCAAATGAACATAAGGGCAGGCTTATCGTCGCTTTTGCTGCAGACGGTGGCGTGTGTCAGGGGGGAGGGCTGGCTTTGGCGCGACGCCAGTTCGTTTCTCAACAACTGTGGTCGCTTTTCCGCTCCAACAGTTGGTGGATAGCGAGCTGACGCCACGCCAAACCCACCCCCATCCACCCCCGCCCTACAAGGCCACAGCGTCTGCAGCGAAAACGACTATATGTGAGCATGTCCCTACGCTGTGCTGTATCACGTGCAAGAAGTATAAACGCGGCAAACTTACTTGACTTGGAGCAGTATATGCCAGTACTTGTTGATAATTGTTTGTAGCCTGTACAGCACTTATATCCGCTTCTATGAATGGTCTACCAGTATTACCAACATTACGTCGGAACACTCGGGATTGCTGAAATTTAGTTTTTGTCAATATTTGAGTGGAAACTACGTGATACTGCCGTGGGGGGAGGAAGTACTACCCTGCTCTTGAAATTCCGTGTGGCTGGTACGACCTTCCCCAATATCCTCTTGTGAACCGCACTGTTCATGATCATTTAGGTTATCGTGCTGCAAACTCTTTTTTTACCTCGTCGTCCTTGGCCATGGAATATACAGGAGGGGGGGCCGGGCAAAAAAGTACTTTGCCTCATATGGCTTCGAAGGCCTATAAGTTACACTTTATCAATTCTGATCGGACATTTTTTACAACATATTAAAGAGCATATTAAATACTATCACGACACTCGCCACAGCCTTCTGGACGAACGCCATCGAGAGATTCTGGCACGCGACCGCGATGTGGTACCTGAGATCAGCGGGGTAGTCGATTTCTCCGCCACCGTAGACCACCCTATTGAACTCCGCCCGAACTGAGTAATTGAGTGGATTCTCAGGGGATATACTTCAATATTACATCTTCATCAGGTACGAAACGCCCTTCCATTCGAAGTAGGCGGGAGTTTTTCCAAAACCCTTCGATTCCATGTGGTGGCACCCAAACCTGTAGCAGCACAAGGTCTACAAGAAGGTAAAAAAACGGGGGCGACCACATGTAGGGAGGATATTCTTCTCGAGTTACTTGATGTAACCGCCAGCGCTCACCTTCAGTCCGGGTCTACAAAGAAAATATCGGTCTTCCCATTCCAGGTACCCCGGTCCATACCATCAACTCGCGCCTCGGCGACATTAAGTAAGAATGATGTCGCTAGGTCGCAGCGAAGTTGACGAAGCTGCTCGATGTAGGGGTATCCAGATGAGAGTACTGTTCAGGTAAAGCGTATCATGGGTGACCCATTAACTAGTTTCGCAGCTGTTTGGAGGTGACATGAATTCCAAAGGTCTTCTCCAGTCAGGCTGCGACTGGAGATGACTTCATATTTTGGTGTACATGAAGGTGGTGGGCGTGAGCCAGCTCCTGTTTATAAGGGAACTACATGAAGGTGGTGGGCGTGAGCCAGCTCCTGTTTATAGAGGAACATCTTGGGTATCCTCCGCCCTGGTACTCGTATCCACGTCCTCTGTCTGGGCTGCAAAAACTTTGCTGATATGTGACTTGGTCAAAGTGACTTTTTTTTGGCCACCCCTGTACGTCTCATGGCATGAGGTGCTAATTCTCCACACGCCAGACGTGCCTGCAACTCCGTTTTAATTAGCTGACAGCTCATGGACGCGTGCGGTCGCGAGGCAGACTGCTTGAAGCATCAAAATTAGAACTTTACAGAGTGGAATTTATAGGTGGGCTAGGGTGGTGGTAGCCTTGTGTTCTCTATTAGAATCTCTCCTGAAACTCACGTCGATAGTCAACCATCCGCGAAATGCCCCTGTTTGAATCAATCCATCAGGACCTGTCCTCCCCATGAGTTCATTTGTGAACAGAGAAGATTCGGCTGGATTCGGTATCGTTGAGTCTAGTGTTGAGTCCCAATATGGTAGAGCAACGCTTGGATCAACTCGGCGTAGGGCTATTTCCAGCCTAAAACTTATTCCCTTTTGTAAGCATAAATCAATAGACATGATCTTGTCTCACCTCTTTAGAAACTCGCGATGCCATGGCAAGAAAGCTGGTCCAGAATGTGCTCCAGGTGATGATTGGAAGGAAGAATGGATCCGAGACAAGACGTCATAGTCACCATTGGCTTTGATCGTCCTCATAGCAGTGTGGTACCTAGACAAGGGGGTTTAACAACATTGTCGCTATACAAATCTGTGGGAGTAATTGTTCCGCTTTTGCGCTTTAGTAGTCCATTCGGCGCTGGTTACACGGCTTCTGTTAACTGGACATGCTCTCACTGTGAGGGTTTAGAGACGGCGCAGTTAGGGGACCCGGGGGGCATTTTCGTTTTTGCTACTTCCTATCAACCGTATCGACCTATCTGTACAGCCTCTTCTCGAGTTGACAGGTTTTACCATGATGCTTGACGACCTTGCTCCAGCTTCACGATAGTTCACAAGTCCTACCGGAGTGAGACTTGCAAACTGGAACTGGTGAAGCAAGAAAGTACCAAATGCCCCTCCCTGTCGCCGAACTGCCCTAGCAAAAGTGATCTGAACATTTACAGAACCGTTGAAAAGAAATATGAAAGCCGTGGTTATGGTCATGCCTGTTAACAAAGTGTTTAACAGAAGTCGCCATTCGCCTAAGCAGAAGTTTGTTTCTTGTCGCTATGAATCCGGCCCTGGGAACTTTGACTGTCGTGTCATTATTGGCATGAAATTCAGCACCCGCAGCTCTCGTGGTTTTGGTAGTATTGGGATCATTCAGCTCACGACTACCTTGAGGTCCGACTGTCCGCTGAACAATTCTACCTTCTTGTGTTTTGAAAATGAGTAGCAAAGGTGCTACTGAGGATGCGAGCGACGAAGCCAAGGACGAATTTTACGAGCAGCTTCAAGACACTATCGATGAATTACCCCGCAGAGACCTCAAGATAGTGCTAGGCGATTTCAATGCTCAGTTATGCAGCGAACGACAAGGATTTGAGAGAACGATTGGCCCGTTTGCGTCCTCCACGCGTTTCAGCGACAACGGCGAACGTTTGGCGTCATTCTGCGATCACAACGAGCTCTGTATTGGAAACACCTACTTCCAGCATAGAGAGGTTCACAAGAAAACATGGAGCTCTCCCGACGGAATGACGATCAATGAGATTGACCACATATGTATAAGCCGGAAATGGAGATCATCCTTGCAGGACGCTCGAGCATATCGTGGTGCAGATATTGGCTCAGACCATTACTTGGTGAGAGCCGCAGTCAAAATTAAGCTAAAGCCAGAGAAAGACTGTCACCGCCCGAGCTTTTGACGTAGAAAGACTGAAGAATCCTGTAGTTGCTGCAGCATTTAACGTGGAGCTGCGGAACCGTCTCGCCACGTTAGAAGGTGGTTCGAATGCGGGATGGCAGTTTGAAGAGACAATATGACAGTCAGAGAAAAAGATTGGTGTGGGAGAATGCAGAGGCGCCAGATGGAGTCTGTAATCAGAAGCGGAATGAGCAGTTTATCAGGAGACAGGAATCGGGTCTCGAGAATAATAGTGACGAGAGGAAGGTGACGCGAAGCTTTCAAAGAAAAAAGCAGAGCCAACTTGTCAATGACTACAAGGAAGCGAGTCGGTAAATATGCTGAGCTAGGTCGTATGGGGGGGGTTGTGAGGAGAGTAAAGCTCGTCGCCGCGACAGAAGGATTGGGCTCACGCAGAAAGGTGGCTGATAGCCAGCATGGCGGATCGTGGAGGACTCGAAAGACGTTTTTTATCGCATTACGGTAGATGACTGGGAACTCGAAGATCTCCAACGTGACCATTAAAATAGCAATGGCATGATGCTCGCCTTGAGGGATGGCACCGGCGGAGGAGCAGAGACGAAAAGGTGATGCTGCCAACAATTTCGCATTGTCTACAACAAGCGAGGCCAAGTGAAACGCATTGCTTCGATGGGATAGACGGCTGTGATGAATTTGACGTTGACGTCAGCTCCATAACAATTGAAGAAACGGAACAAGCAATCAAATGTCTTCGGAACAAAAAAGCACCTGGTCTTGACGAAATCGCACCGGAGTTGATAAAAGCAGGAGGAAGACCCATGGCAAACGTGTTGACGAGACTGTTCAATGAGTGCTGGACTCGTAGAGAAGTCCCGGAGGACTGGAGAAAAGGAGTCATCGTCAAATTGCCCAAAAAAGGAGACCTGACAGAATGCGGTAACTGGAGGGGAATCTCGCTACTGTCTGTGCCTGGAAAGGTATTTTGTACGGTACTGCTGCGGCGACTACGCGGAGCCATCGACGAGCGACTGAGAGAGGAGCAAGCCGGATTCAGAGCGGAAGGTCGTGTTGCGAACAGATTTTCACTTTACGCAACATAATCGAACAGTGCATGGAATTCCGTCATCCCTCTTCATAAATTTTGTCGATTTCAAAAAGCATTCGATAGCATACACCGCGAATCGCTTTGGGCCATCCTCAAGTTATATGGTGTACCTTCGCCCTATATCAGCATCTTCAGGAACTTGTATCTCAACTCTTCGTGCTGTGTTAGAACGAATGACGGCTATACACCATTCTTTGAAATTGCCACTGGAGTACGACAGGGATGCATTCTGTCTCCGATTCTGTTCAATGTATGCCTCGACTTTGTTATGAGAAGAGCGATGGGAAACGCAGAAGCGGGCATCAATTGGCCTGTTCAAGGCCGTCTCACAGATCTGGACTTTGCCGACGACATTGCGTTGATTGCTGAGGATAATGATAAACTTCAAGACAGCACCACGAGACTCAGTAAGGAAGCAAGCATGGTTGGCTTGCGAATAAGTGCTGAGAAGTCGAAGGTCATGCACGTAGGAATGAACGGGCAGGTGGATGTAAACGTTGACACTGCGTCGCTAGAGAATGTCGACACGTTCACTTACCTCGGTAGCGTGGTCACGCACACTGGTGATGCTGAAGCGGATGTCCGGGCTCGACTTGCAAAAGCTGCTGCTGTGTTCAGGCGACTGCTGCCGATATGGAAAATGTCCTCAATATCGCGTAGCATTAAAATGAAACTTTACTCGTCCATCGTTATTCCCACAGCACTCTATGCAAGCGAAACATGGAAGTGTCTGCCAAAGCTCGCCAAAAAATGAACGCCTTCCACCAGCGATGTCTTCGGCGAATCATGAAGATACGATACATGGACCGGGTCACGAATGAGGAAGTTCTACGACGGTGCGGTATGAGCAGCCTTCACGTGATTGTGGCACGGCGTAGGCTTCGACTGGCTGGCCACATATTGCGCATGCCACAACATCGAATCCCAAGAGTGGCCATGTTCTGGATTCCTCCAGGAGCCAAGCGAGCACGAGGCCGTCCCAGAAACACGTGGAGACGTACATTCGAAAATGACTTGCGAATCATGAATGCTTCTAGGGACCAGGCCGAGGAAATCGCGCAAGACCGACAACAGTGGAAAGAATTCGTCGCCCGATGTGCTCAACAGCACGGGAGGAACTAAGTAAGTACGTAAGCGAAGCTGCGGAGGCTATCACTGGCCTAGCGTCCCACCCACCAGAGTAGTCCCACCCCCAGCTGGACACCATCGCCAAGAGAATGCTTAGTGTCTATGGTCCCATTCGTCTTTCTGTCCTCTCATCCGTCTTTCT